TACCTACTACGTCGTCGTCTCTCTACTCCTACCTACCTACGTCGTACGTCGTTACTTCTTCTACTTATAATAATAACTACGTACGTCGTCGTCTCTCTCTCTCTCTCTCTCTCTACACACACACACACACACACACACACACACACCAACCAACTACTACTACGTCAACTACTAACGACTCGTACACACGTACTCTCTCTCTCTCTCTCTCTCTCTCTCTCTCTCTCTCTCTCCGTCTCTCCCCCCCCCCCCCCTCGACAACACACACACACAAGTACATATGCATATTGTGATGGAGTGTAGTTCACAGTTAGTAAATTACAATTCACCTCATCCATCAGCTGATGCAAATTGTTCCTCAACTCATTTACTCTTGGTAGATGAGTGTTCATCTCACCCATCCCTTTCAAGTTGTTCACAACGGACAATTGATGCAACATGCAGTTCACTGTTTGTAAACTATGCACAACCCCTAACCACAGGCACATAGTCATAAGAATCATGACGAATATTGTAACTGCTATATATGTTATGTAAAAGAGAGAGTGATTGATGTTTCCATTGTTTCTCCATTGGATACTACTGTCATGTTCTCCACATTTGAAAGAGAGATGGTTCTCAAGAAGAAACCAAAAGTCTCAACAAAGAAGAATGGAACATACATGATAATGCCATGTAGTTGTATACAGAGGTGAAAAGATATTCACCATGTTGTTATGTAAAAGAGAGAGTGATTGATGTTTCCATTGCTTCTCCATTGGATACTACTGTCATCTTCTCCACATTTGAAACAGAGACGGTCTTTTTTAGATGTTTGAAAGAGCGGTTCTCAAGAAGAAACCAAAAATCTCAACAAAGAAGAATGAAACATACATGGTAATGGCATGTAGTTGTATAAAGAGGTGAAAAGTTATTCACCATATTTGCCGCATGCAAGAGGACATGTCAACTTAAATCCCAAAAGCTCCATCCAAGAAACTCCACCAGTGCTACATGGATGCAGGGGGAATGCATCCTTCTTTTGGTTTTGCTGCTTCCACTCAGTGGGATTCTGTAAACCTGAGGTCCATGGGTCCTGGACCCAAAATTCCTCGCAGATGTGACTTTCCTGTCTGCGTTTCAGGGTGCTCAACGAATCCCACATTAGCACCAGCAGGAGCTTCTGAGTGCATATCTTTTTCTTCCTCAACAGATGATTGGCGCCTCCGCTCACCACTTTGCTTCTCACGCTGCATTATGCCAGACCTCATAAAAAACATGTGTTACCAAATATAACATAGCACCCATTGATGTATGTGTGCAACTTTCTGCCAATTATGATGATTAATGATGTCTTTCTTCTTCTCCAGAGGAGCAGTCAAGCATAGTCTATATGAACACGTGTATGGGTGAATCAATTGCTCATTGTGTATAGCACATACCTCTCTAGATGAGTAATTACCAGTCCAATCATCTTGATACTGGGATCTGGATCCATGATGAGCTGAAGCATGAAACCAACGTATCAGTAAAACCACAAAGCTAATGTTATTTACTACCGAACTTACTTCAGAACAGAAGGAAACATCCCACTCCATGGAAGATACAAAATCTAGCGTTAATTAATGGTCATCAGATTCTAGGGCTGCATCTGGAAGTCCGAGACTCCAAAGCATACCAAAGTTTCCAGGATAATATACAATAATAAGTAGCACTACCTAACTACTTGTTAGTATATTTGAGATTATGATGTCATAAGATAAAATGCCCGTAAACCTTTTTCACAGCATTCATGTATTCTTTAAACAGTGGAGTTCAATCAAACCCCCTACGTCCAACATGCCCAACGAATGGAGGTTAAACACTTCCATTTGGTACAGATTCATGGGATATCATGAAACCACAGAGGGGATCCAAGTTTCACGACTTCCAGTCCAGTGAAGAAAGAGATGGTTGTTTATTCAAAGTTTTGGTTGAAACGAGGTGCTGAACCATTAAAACCATTCAGTCCAAGTTGGACTAATACCTCTAGTTTGGTGTCAAAGCTCTAGATGAAGCCCCGTGCTTCGACCGTGCGACCCTTGCACCTCAGTCCGTTGTGGACGAGTCGGCCTTCCCACCACAAGCACCATTGTGCACCAACAAAGCACGAAGTGCTAGTCACTAGTGCGCACCACCACACACACTAGCTTAATCCACAGATATGCACCACTCACAAAGAGAGTAGCCATGCACACACATGAGAGGGATACACGAATTGGCTTGGAAAAGCCTTTAGAAATGCACTATATCTCAAGAATGCTAACAAAGTCTGAGTATTCCTCACTCTTCTGAGGTTTGTTACAAATGAGGGGTCCTCCACCTTGTATAGGCTCTTGGCCTTAAAACTAACTGTTAGGATTAAACCACAAGGTGTACATCCAACGGCTAGGAACCCTCTAGCCTCTCTACAATGCTCTAAAGCATTCTACATAACCTTTTCCTCTAGAAACCTACTAGAATCCTCATGAACGCCCTAGAGCCCTGTAGAACCTTCAGGGCCTATGTGATAAAAACAAATGGGCCTATGTATATAATGTACAAAGCCTTGTAGGGACAAAGCATCACTTAACTTTAGGGGCGTGACATTCTCCCCCACCTAATTTGGTGACACCCTCGTTGCACTCCTTCCATGATGCGTCCTTGTCCTTGAGTAGCCACAACGACTCTGTGTGCTCCCAACTTGCCTTGCTGACCGACAAATTCCTGTTCCTAGCCACATACTCGCCGTGCAATTCTCATCAATGCCTCTCCTGACCAGTTGTCTTTGCTTGGAATCCTTGGTGCGAGCTAAGTGGGTCTTCCCTTGCCAGCCCTTACCATCCCGACCAGGTTTCTTACCCGTCGTTGAAGAGGCCACCTTGTCATGGCCCAATTGTCACCCCCCAGAGATTTTCCTTGTACACTATACACTTAGACCTATTTTTCTTGTCACCTAGGGCCGAAAGGTTCTAGAGAAACCTAGGGTATTCATGAGGGTTCAAATGGGTTTCTAGAGGTATCCTAGAGGCCGGACTATGTGGAAGGCTCTAGAGGTTTGTAAAAGCTAGAGGATTCCTAACCATTGGATGTATAACATGTGGCTTGATCCTAACCGTTGGTTGTAAGGCCTTGAGCCTATATAAAGGGGAGGACCCCTCATCTGTAACCCAACCTGGGGTGGAACCTGGGAAGGGTGGAACCTCAAGGTGTGAGGAGCTTATACGTTGTAAGGATTCTTTGGTTATAGTGGGCCCTCGAGTCAAACTCGTGTGTCCCTCTCATGTGGTGTGCTTGGCTTGTACTTGTGTGCATAGTACATATTCGAGGGTTGATTGCTAACCTTCTTGTGGGTTAAGCTAGTGTGTGGTGGTGTGCACTAGTGCTAAACTCGGTTGGTGCACGTTGTGCTCGTTGGGAAGGTCGATTTGTCCTTAATGGACCAAGGTACGAGTGTCGCACGATCAAAGTAAGGGGCTTCAAGCTAAGGCCGTGACACAGTGCTGATGAGTTCGCCCTTGGCTCCAATCCCGTCTCTTCGCCCTTAGGAGGCAACTTTTTAAGCACACTTAGTGGCAACCCCACCATGGTGAGCTGCATAGCCGATAAGGTCTTGTGGGTAGTCTTGATGCCTTGCACCACAGAAACCATGCATGGAGCGCCCTCCTCCATGATGCATCCCATGTTCATGAATGGCATGGGCACCACCCTTACCCAGCATAGGAAGTCCATCCCTAGGACCACTTGGTAGTCATCCATAGGCACAATGGTCTTGATGCCTTGCAGCATAGGAACCATGCATGGAGCGCCCTCCTCCAAGATGCATACCATGTTCACGAATGGCATGGGCACCACCCTTACCCAGCATAGGAAGTCCATCCCTAGGACCACTTGGTAGTCATCCATAGGCACAATGGATAGGTCTATCTTGCCTCTCCATTGACTAGTACAAATATCCACCCCACAAGCTGTGTCATGGATTGGTTTGGCCCTTGAGTTAACGGCCTTTACCCAGCCTGTCTCCTCGGCAAACCACAACCCCAACCGTTTAGCCTCATCCTTAGAGACAAAATTGTGTGTAGCCCCCATGTCAATCATGGCCTTGGCGGCCTTCCTATTGATGTAGGTCTCTATGTACATGAGACCCTTGCTTGGGGCCTTTGGTCTCTTAGTCTCAACCTTCATGCCATTTTGTTTTTTGAGAATGTTAACTGTAAATCAAATAATATGAGTTTTAAAGCTTCATACCATTCATGAGTTGTAGAGACCCCATCTGAGATCCTTGGACATCTCCCCCACCCTTAGGGTTGTCCAACCTAGCAATGAGGGCATTAAGGGCTTTTCTCTTAGGACAATCCCATGGCCAGTGTGGCCCTTCACATATAAAGCACTCCGCGCTTTGTGACTTGGTCATATCCTTCTTAGGGAAATCTTAGGCCTGATGCAGTTCGTTGCAAATGAAGCAACTCAAGCCTTGTCGATACTTGTCAACATGGCTTTCCTTGCCACCCTTCCATCCTGAGGGCTTGTCAAGCCCTTCCTTGTGGCCTCCCCACCCTGAGGGCTTGCCATGTCCACCTTTGGGGCTGAAAGCCTCGTCCTGGTCTCCCCCACTGTTGTCGTAGTCATTTCTAAAGGATCGTTGCTTGAGGAATTGTACTGCCTAAATTCCACCAATTGCTCGGCCACCGCCATGGCTGAGGCCAAGTCTTGCACCCTGCGTTGTTGCAACTCTTGTTCAGCCCAAAGTTGCAGGCCATCCATGAAATTGAAGAATAAGTCTTTCTCAACCATGTCGGGGATCTCCAACATGAGGGTGGAGAATTCTTTTACATAGTCACGGATCGACCGCTTCAAGTTCCAAGTACTCCACATTCTCGGGGTAGAATTGCCCCTTGATTTATGGCTTAAAGTCGTCCCATGTATCGATGGTGCAATTCCCCCGCTCGATATCAGTGTGCCTTCTACGCTATCAGAGTGTAGTAGTGTTTGAGAGGTACATGGTGGCAGTATGCACCTTGGTCCTTTCATCCCTCAAAGACGTGGCCTCAAAATATCTCTCCATTTGCCACAGGAAGTTGTTCAACTCCCTAGCATCCCTTGACCCATTTAAGGATTTGGGTTTAGGTACACGCACCTTAGGCACCTCATGAGCCACGATGCCCCCATTGCTTATAGCCCTCTTTCACAACGCTAAGTCGCCCTTCAGCTCATCCACTTGATCCTGCAGCTTCATTAGGATCTCCATGATCTTACTCTCAAAGGACTCTCGCTCCTTCAGATGGTTATCCGTCATCTCGTTTAGGGTCAACAATGTGACAATCCTTAAGTCCTCGAGCCTAGCGTTGAGGCCTTCTATGCTTTGGTCAATTTCCCTAAATTGATCCTGCTCATCTCCCATCGTTAACTCTAGTCTTGCAACCCTTTTCTCCATGGCAACCAAGGGGTCCTGGGACTTCTCCCTTTTCCCCTCCTTGCTGCCTGACCTTGCCTACGCGCTTGGTCACCTTAGAAGCCATGTCGTCCCTCTCTTGGCCCACACATGTCCCATGAGCCAAGTCTAATGGTTCATTCGAACCTTTGCTCTGATACCACTTGTCATGACCATTGTTAGCAAGCCTTTGTTTAGAACACGAATTTTTCAAAAAATCTTTGATTTTTTTAAATCCATTAAGAACTCTGAGTTTTTAGATCTTCAAAAAATTGTGTTTTTTTAATGGAACCGATGTAAATCCATATTTTATCGTTTTTTTCCAAAAAACCTTTTCAAAAAACTTCTTCCCTATAATTTTATTTCTTCATTAACTTAATATCATTGAATTTTATTTTAAAGATAAGCACATTAACTGTGGAGTATATCAAGAATCTTGATTTAACAAAAAATTCTATAAAAATTTTTACCAATAAGTTCACTTTAAAAAAATGTACAAAAACATATAAGCAATACATTCCCCAAAAAATAAGATATCAAAACAATCGTATATCTCAAAATATTAAGTAGAGTTAGAAGAAGAGTAAGCCAATAAAAAATCTTTTTTTTCCTTTACACGTAGAGCATCCTTATAAAGAGCAAGCGAGAGATTCAATGATACTAAAGATTTAGGTAGCTAGAAATTCAGTGTAATATTTGAATTTGTTTAAGCATTTTGTTGCTTTTGTTATGCATAAAGAACTTTAATTAATCTCATTTTTCATTTTTTTATTTTTTATTTTATTGGTGTACACAACACAACATTTTTGGATGTTGTTGGATTTATTGAATGTTAAGACAATTTGTCAAGCATTATTCTAATGACACTAAGTACAGCCAGAAAATTATTGTCAACAGCTTTAATGTATCTATATAGTAACTGTAAATCATAATCCTATATTATATCATCTTTATATATCCGATTTTTTCAGCTAAATATCAAATATTCACTATTCTAGAACTTACCGTATTTTTTGGCGATCCATATTTTTTACCCGACTTTTTCCTCCAATTTTTTGAAATAAAATCTAATTATTATTGATGCTTTAGTTCACCGATATTTTATTAGTCCACGACTTGCTAACTATGGTCACAACCCTAGTTGAAGCCCTGCGCTTCGAACGTACGGCACTCACACCTCAGTCCGTTGAGGACGAGTCAACCTTCCCAACACTAGCACCACCATGCACCAACCAAGCACGAAGTGCTAGTCACTAGAGCACACCACCACAAACACTGGCTTAACCCACGGATATGCACCACGCACAAAGAGAGTAGCCAAGCACACACAAGAGTGGGACACACAAATTGGCTTGGAAAAGGCTTTAGAAATCCAGTATATCTCAAGAATACTTACAAAGTCTGAGTATTCCTCACTCTTCTGAGGTTTGTTACAAATGAGGGGTCCTCCCTCTCATATGGGCTTTTGGCCTTACAACCGACGGTTAGGATTAAGCCACATGGTACACAACTAACGGATAGGAACCCTTTAGCCTCTCTACAATTATCTAGAGCATTATCCATAGCCTTTCCCTCTAGAAACCCACTAGAACCCTCATGAATGCCCTAGAGCCCTCTAGAACCTTCCGGGCCTATGTGATAAAATAAATGGGTCTATGTACATAATGTACAAAGCCTTGTAGAGACAAAGCATCACTTAACTTTTGGAGCATGACATTGGTCCCCTCTTCATTTTTTAAGCCTTAGTATATATATGGAAGATACTACAAAATGCCTATAGGCGAAAATGAACAGTGATTTCGCCTACCCTCATCACCATCCAAAACTTCATCGCACGATCACAGTTGTTCGATAGTGTTTCAATTTTCATTTTTTTTTTATTAATCAGAATGATTTGAAATTTGGAGCGTGTGTACATCTTAGTGAAGTGCACCTACTAAAAATATGAAAAAAAATAATTCTCAAAATATAAATTGACCAAAATACCCCGATAAATTTTCAGGGGTATTTTGATCAATTTATATTTTGCGAATTATATTTTTCATATTTTAATTAGATGCGCCTCACTAAGATTTACATACTTCAAATTTCAAGTCATTTGGATTTGTAAAAAAAAAATAAAAATTAAAACACTACCAGACAACTGTGACCGTGCGATAAAGTTTGGATGGTGATGACGGTAAGCGAAATCACTGCTCATTTTCACCTATAGGCGTTAGG